CACACACAGATTAATTGTGGCTGCTGCTGTAGCGAGGCAGAGCAAACTTCAGCTCTGTCCAAGAGAAACATGAAGCAACCGTCGAACAGTGAAATGAAACACTGGCTCCGCCCCCACGGTCGCTTTGATCCTTTCACGGTGGAGGAAACGTCACCACCATCAGTCTTTAGCTCCGAGCAGCTGGACCGCAGCTTGTATCGGACTCTCAGCAATGTCACATAAACTAAAGGCTGAAACTCAAACAAGGTTTTTTTGTGGTTTCTTTTTTGTTTTGAAATGATTGTGAAGAGTTTCAACATCTCCAGAGGAGACGAGCCGACTTCTGAATTTATTTCTTTTAACCCGGCGAAGTCCAAGCCAGCGTCTGACGTCTTTGATGGTTAGCAGCACAGAAAACACTGAAGCTTAAGAACCATCAGCTGGAGTTTGTTTTCATGAAAGCGTCACAGACGCCACCTCTGTGCCAGATGCCTCAAGTGTCACCTGGACATTTGTAATGCTGACAGCAGCAGCCACACAGTGACCAACAGTCTGACATGTGCTGGTAGCAATGCAGTGCACAGGGAGGCGCTCAGATCAGGTGATGAAAGTTGTACAGGATGAAGCTTAGATAATAATAATAATAATAATAATGAGGATGAAAATTCATCTTGCATGCTGCAGTCTTATTGGCCTTTACAGGCTCAAAGATGCCCCCCCCCACCACACTGGGTGCACAGACAGAGAGGAAACACTCTTCATAGAGTTCCTAGAAGACCTGATGTGGAGGTAAACTCAAATCCTCATGCTTTAACTTCTGTACGATATGAAAAAAAGAAATGTTTTCTTTTTCTTCTGTAATGATTTATGAAAACACACGTCCACTGCTTCAGGACTTCACAGGGTTACACCGATCGACACGCTGAAATAAACCTCTGAAGGGTCTTTAAACACTTTATGTTTCTTACTTCACGGGAACATTTTGGGATAAATCATTTTTCACATCAGCCAACTGAACGGAGAGAAAATCGAACTGAGAGGCTGAAACCTGCAGAAGAAGAGAGTCTAAACACCACAGCGCTGCGGCCGCTCCATGTTTGTTATTCCTGCTGTGTGCGTGCGTGCGTGTGTGCGTGCGTGTGTGTGTCTGTGTGCGTGCGTGCGTGCGTAAGAGTGTGTCTTGGCTCTTCAGAGCTGAAGTTACAGCTGAATGAAAACAGTGTTCTGACAGAAGGACGCACACGAACCACTGCACTGCTCGAACATTTTACTTCAACTGTGCTTGTGTGTGTTTAAGTCGCAGAATGAAAATACTAAATCACTCCCAGGTGAAAGGAAAGCACGAGAGCGAGACTGTTGGTGTTCAGCTGGCGCCACACGGCTAAAGCGATCAGAGCGATGGCGCTGAGCGGACGGCGTTGTGTTACTTCTGCTGTGTCACTGACGATTA